CCTCTCCCTCCGCATTTTGTTGAGCAGATTGTAATCCATATACCATTTTGCTTTTCTTTTCAGTAATGAACTCAAAAGCATCTTGTTCAGTGATTTGAGTGCCAAGTAATCTATCATTTAGCAACGAAAGCGGCCCTCTTGGATTTGATCCAAACATTAATTCAAATGGCGAGTACCCCGTCGCGTCATGCACTGTTCCTCTATAGGCGAACAGTATCGCCGGAATATACTCATTCCACTCCTTAGGATGATCTTCTGTAGCTTTTGCTAGCATTACCTTGAGTGTTTTATTCCACCGTTCACACATACCGTTTGCTTGCGGTCTGTAGATGGTCGAGTGTACCTGAGTGATCTTCAGCAGCTTTGTTAATGCATTAGTCACATTAGAGGTAAATTGTTTGCCGTTGTCTGACAGCAGAGTTTCAGGAAAACCATATCTTGAAAAAATGTCTAATAATGCAGAACATATAGTTTCGGATTTTATATCCCTTAGGGGTATAGCTTCTGGCCATCTGGACGCCATGTCTATTAAAGTTAGAATAAATCTGTGACCTTTTTTTGATGCAATTGGTAGAGGTCCTACTATGTCTATAGCCACTTTCTCAAACACCCTTCCTATTTTATCAGTTGGCTGTATAGGAGCAATATGTTTGCTGTGTAGATGATTTTTAGTTATACATTGCTTGCATTTACCAATGTATCTTTTCACATCCTGATGGATTCCCGGCCAGAACGAGTTGTCAAGGATTCTATTTATAGTTTTCCTGACTCCCATGTGCCCAGCCAAAGGACTATCATGTGCTGTCTCCAAGACTAGACCTTTCAGTGTCTCTGGAATGACTATTTGTGTCCTTTTAATGCTGTTATTCTGAAATATTCTAACCAGTATATCATTTTTTATTTCATAGCAGTGGCCTCTGTACTTTCCTTGTCGTTTATTGATGTTATTCATCAGTTTTTTTGTGACTTCATCCTCTTTTTGTAGCCTTGCCATCTCAGGCGCTGTTAAGTGCGTTTGTACTATAGGTTTTAGCTTCTCTGCGTTATCATCCTGTATAATGGCGTTTACAACCATCTTACCTTTCTTGGCTTGCCATGCTTCTAAAAATTTCATTGAGTCATCCGGAATACCCGGGATGTTGCCAACTATTAGAGGACAAATAGGGTTCTCCATCACAACTGCTGTGAATGAACCCGTAACCCATGGGCAGTCTATTTCAATCTTCGCCATATCACAATGGATAGACATCCTATTAGCTAACCTGACCTCTTGTACTTCTCCGGTGTAATCTGATTCTTTTACCATTGCTTTGTCAACAATCAATGTTGTACAGCCTGTATCCCTTAGGCAAAGTGTGTTTTTCCCATTCAATACCGCTGGGAAATAAAATAATCTTCCATTAGCATCACGGGCAGTAGCTACTATTTGTTTCGCTTCCGTATCACCGTTATTATTTTTCTGCCTTTCAATATTATTAAATGACAGCCTACTTCCTTGGTTGAAAGAATTATTCCTGTAGTCTTGCGGGTTTCTGTTGGTACCACTATAGTATCTGCTTGGACTCGGTGGTGAATATTCTCTACGGTTAGTATAGGCACCGCTGTTTCTATTGTGCTGGTATCCCCAGCTCTTATAACTCCCACTGCTACTAGGACCTTGTTGCTGTCTGTCATTCATATTGTTCAGCCTCCAGCATTCAGCTCGCATGTGACCTTCTTTACCACAGTGATAACATGTTATCCTTATTGGTCTACTCTTTCCAATGTTAGGCAGGCTGTTACGCCTTTTTCTTGTCGGCGATTGTGTTCTCGGTAGCTGTTCGTATCTGCCCGCTACTGTCTGTGCCAGTACGGTTTCCTCTGCCGACAACTGCTCATGGGGGTGTGAATCCCTGAACGTTGCCACCGCTATTCTAAGCTGATCTTCCGTTTTTATTTTCCTTTCTTTTAGAAAGCTGAATAAGCCCTTGCCCGCTTCATCATAAATTTTGAGGATTAGAAACTGATCTAACAGAGCCTTTGGATCAGTTGTGTCTATCTCCGCTAGTTCAAAGTATTTTAGCAAGTTTTCCTTCATTTTAAATAAAGTGGCCGTTGTGTCCAGGTGGCTCTCCAGTTTCATCGCCACAAAGGCTTTTCTATATTCGTCCTCTGACTTCCCATAACAAGTGAGTAGTTTCTTTTTAATATGGTCATAGTCCTTTTTTTGAATATCAGTAAGCGTGCCAATTATGTTTAAACATTCACCTGTGAGCCTGCTCAGCAAAGTACTTGCCCACATGCTTCTACTGTAGTTATTAGTTGTGGCAATGCACTCACATTGTGTTAGGTAGTTTAATATTTCTTCTCCTTCTCTTAAGTCCCTGAATTTCAGCTGTAATCTGGTTGAGTGCTCACCCGCCTGTTCAGTACTATTTATTCTTCTCAGTTCTGTTTCATGCTTGTGCTTTCTTTCATCATCTTCTATTTTCCAATTCCTTTCCTCTAACCTCCTAGCCCTCTCTTCTGCCTTCCTAGCCTTCTCTTCTTCTTTTTCTTCAGCTTTCGCCTTAGCAGCTTTTTCTTCTCTAGCCTTCTCTTCTTCTTTTCTCTCAGCTTTCTCTTTAGCAGCTTTCTCTTCATCTTTCTTAAGTAGTTCTTTTATAAATGCCAACCTGTCTTCCTTCGGAATGTCAAGTTCCTTCACAAGTGCTGTATATGTTTCAAAATTTGACATTTTGATATATTTTCTATGACATAAAATATAAATTCATTAGTTGACAATAGATAAATGTTAATTAATTTACAATACCCTTTCTTGTATTCTGGCTTTGTTCAGTTGATTAGAGACATCTAGTAATCCAAGAAAAGTTCATAGTACATATATAGTACAAAAATAGTTCACTTTGTTGATTCCAAAAAGTTGAAAAAAATTCAAAATAGTTCTAGTAGCCTGTTACAGAGTAGAAATTTGTCCAGTTTTAGATAAGACATCTTTAGGAACAGTTTAGGAACAGTTACAAAAATAAACTTGATCTGCTAAATCCAAACAGTAGAAAAACTTGAACAGCTAATCCATATAGAAAAAACTTGAACAGCTAAATCCAAACAGTAGAAAAAAACACTAAGACTTGATCGGCTAAATCCAAACAGAAAAAACACACAGACGATATTTACTCGACATTGGTGAGACAATATCGAAATAAGGTGATAAAATTTATCACGTTGATGACTTGACTTGAACAAGACGTCTGACTTGACTACAGCAACCCTTCTGACTTGAGTGTAGATAGATGACTTTCAAGAACTTGACGTACTTGGTAAACAGTGGAAGACCACAGACTGTAATATCTCCATTTCTGACATATGTAGCACCAATTCTTCAACCACTTGTGACATCATAAGTAACAGTAATACAATGTAGCAACATCACTTTATTGCCTCCACTTCTGACACCATATGTAACAACATGAATTCTTTGTTGTTGTGGGTTAGCTTTCATACAGGAACACGAGCAACAGTGGCAACTTGAAATGACAACTTTATTTACACTATGTACAGATAAATCCGTGGTACATCCATATTTGAAGATCAACTGATATAGGTACAAATAATAATCACGACTCCAAGTCATGGAGACATCTTACATTCACTGCCCTCGTTCCAGTCCCAAGTCCTAGCACACAACACCCGTTCACCTTTTGCTCTCCCTTTTATTCACAACTTTCTCTCCCCTTACGTCAATGAGCGATCTCACCCAAAAACATGGATAAACACATGAGGATCGCTCAGACAGTCCTTCCGCTAGCCAGGTACTCTTCATTCATGCAACTTCATGTAAAACACAATATAATATAAACATACATAATTATACAGTCTGTGACATATGTTAAAAAAAAACAACACTACCATACCACGACAAAACCAAAAAAATGTCTGATTGGTTTTAACGTGTCTAGAAAACGCGCTCACACATTTAAAAATTAAATTTTGAAAAAAAAAAAAAATTCCGTCTGTCAGGAAATTAAAACCCTTTTAGAAGCCAATCCCAATGTTTTGACCTTTACACCTGAACCGGACAACCTGACTCTCTAGTCTGGCTAGTTTTAATACACGATATTAAATGTTTCTCGTTTATTCTTTTTCTTTCTTTGTCGTATAAAAACAAAACGAAACAACCGGTTAATATAAAAAAAAAAAAAAATTACCAGAAGCCAGAATGAAACTTTACAAAAAATGAGACATTTTTTTCCTAACAAATTTTTTTATTAGACAGACAGGAAGATGAATCGACAGACAAATTAAAATAGATTTAATGTTGAAGTAGATTTATGGTCGAAGGCGGGGGAGGGAGGGTATCATCAGACAGACAACGGACAGATTCGGCTCTCATTTGTCTCAGACGATAGAATATCGATACCCATACTGTAGGCCTACTAGAACGTAGAATATCGATACCTATACTGTAGGCTCACTATAACGTAGAATATCGATACCTATACTCAAGGCTTACCAGAATTATGTTTAAGATAGCCGGGGCTGGCCTCTGTCGAGACTTTTCAAAATTTGCACTAACTAATAATACACGATCTTTCTATTAGCCTTTTTCTTTTACTTTATCGTATACATTGTATAGAAGAAGCTTTGCAATCGTGAAAAAAAATCGCAATCGATACTTTTAGGAATCTCGACATTTTACACATTCCTAAGTCCGATTTTTTTTGGTTGCAGTCTCGTTTGTAACATATGGCTGTCTTTCTCTCTGTCTGTTAATGTGTGAGTATGTGAACACGGTAACATGAGAACTTTTTCAATTAAGTTGACGACATTCCATTAAAAAAAAAAAATTCTTTTTCAAATTTTAAGCGATTTCCGGTAACCGGAAGTGAAATTTTCTCTACTTCCGGTATCTCTAAAGCCGAAATTTTGAGTATTGTTTCAGTAAGGTGAACAAAAAAATATACTTCTTTTACAAAGTAAAGATAACCAGTGTGTAATCATCTCCATCTCACCTGTTCCAGGTAAGGGCGTGATGTTTCTAGAAAACGCCGCCCACGACAGTTCCATCCTGACGCTGCTGGCCATCGGGTTCGAGCGCTACTACGCCATCTGTCACCCCCTGAAGGAGACGGTGGGGTCAAGGCTGACCTCGGCCACCATTGTGATACCCGCCGTGTGGATTGTGTCGGGTCTGATCGCTCTGCCGTATGCTTTCATCAGTCACACAAAGGTATGTTTTCATCAGTCACACAAAGGTATGTTTTCATCAGTCACACAAAGGTATGTTTTCATCAGTCACACAAAGGTATGTTTTTATCAGTCACACAAAGGTATGTTTTCATCAGTTACAAAATGGTATGTTTTCATCAGTCACACAAAGGTATGTTTGGATCAGTCACACAAAGGTATGTTTTCATCACTTATACAAAGGTATGTTTTCATCAGTTACAAAATGGTATGTTTTCATCAGTCACACAAAGGTATGTTTTCATCAGTCACACAAAGGTATATTTTCATCAGTCACACAAAGGTATGTTTTCATCAGTGACACAAAGGTATGTTTTCATCAGTCATACAAAGGTATGTTTTCATCAGTCACACAAAGGTATGTTTTCATCAGTCACACAAAGGTATGTTTTCATCAGTCATACAAAGGTATGTTTTCATCAGTTACAAAATGGTATGTTTTCAGCAGTTACAAAATGGTATGTTTTCAGCAGTTACAAAATGGTATATTTTATCAGTCAGACAAAGGTATACTTTCAACAATCACACATAGGTATGCATTCATCAGTGACACAAAGGTATGTTTTCATCCGTCACACAAAGGTATGTTTTCATCAGTCACACAAAGGTATGTTTTCATCAGTTACACAAAGGTATGTTTTCATCAGTGACACAAAGGTATATTTTATCAGTAACACAAAGGTATACTTTCAAAAGTCACATACATGTATCTTTTCATAAGTCACACAAAGGTGTACTTTCATAAGTCAAACAAAGGTATGTTTTCAACTGTCACACAAAGGTATGTTTTCATCAGTTACACAAAGGTATGTTTTCATCAGTGACACAAAGGTATATTTTATCAATAACACAAAGGTATACTTTCAAAAGTCACATACATGTATCTTTTCATAAGTCACACAAAGGTGTACTTTCATAAGTCAAACAAAGGTATGTTTTCAACTGTCACACAAAGGTATGTTTTTACCAGTCCCAAAAAGTATATTGTATCAGCCACACAAAGGCATAATTTCAACATTCACACAAAGGTATTTTTTCATCAATTACTCAAGTTCTGCCATTCAGTGCAGTCCGACCCTCTTCTTCCATCATCTCACCTACTTTACACGTAGTTTCATCTTGTGATGTAAACTGCAGTTCTGTTAACTTCATTCACCAGAGAAGCTAAAGACATTCACAACTTTGTTTATTGTTTTTTTTTTCCCCACAAAACAGTAAACGTGAATTTACCTTTCCATTCAAACAAATACCCTGGAGTTTATATATTTAAACAAAAAATTGTTATATATATGTTTTTGCTCAAACTTCAAGTTGTAAAGTTAAATTGGAAAGGCGGGGTATAATGGTAGAGCATACGACTGCTAACCCAAAAGCATCGAGTTCGGATCCCGGGTTCAAGTCTGTACGACGTCCCTGAGTCCACCCAGCTCTGATGGGTACCTGACTCACGTTAGTGGAAACTGAGGGCGGCTTGGCATAGTGCTGACCACATAATATAACCCCCCCACCCCCACCTCCCGTATGCCGAGGTCATTGAAATAGGTGATCTCCACTTTGTTTGCATTCTATGTCTTGGGCATAAACGAGAAAAGATGTTGAGGGCATAAACGGAAAACGATGACGATGTGCATAAATGGAAAAGATGATGATGATTATTATTATGATTATTTTTTATTATTATATATATTATAATTTTAATCACTTTAGTTTTGAAATTGTAAAATTAAACTTGACATTTTGTCATAAGAGTTGTACCCCCTTTTCCCCCAGGAAATCTCATACTATGACGGGAGTGTGGTCGAGATCTGCGAGATAGACTGGGCCGCCAATTCCCAGCTCATCTACGTCATCTTCCTTTTCGTCGTCTGCTTCGTCCTGCCCTTGGCCCTGCTCACCGGCATGTACATCGCCATCATCATCACCATCCACGCCAGCACGGCCACGGCATCGCACCTGGGGGGCGGCGGAACCGGATCCGGGACTCAACTTTGTTCCCAGCGGGATAATGAACGGAACGCCCGGACGCTGAAGGGACGACGTCAAGTCATCAAGATGATGATCGCGGTGATGCTGATGTACTTCTTCTGCCTCCTCCCCTTCCGCTGTTTCCAATTCTGGACTTTATTCGCGTCAGAAGAAGAGTTAGTAAGTTTAGGTTTCCATTCGTATTTAAACATCGTCAACATCTGCCGGTTGTTGATTTTCATCAACAGCGCGTGCAATCCTGTGATATACGGCCTCGTGAGCTCGACTTTCCGTTCAGCGTTTAGACACTCGCTGTGTAGTTTTAGATCCAGTCGTCGCGACGTGTACAAGTACAGCACCAAGTACAACGGCAACCTCAGCAGCCGGCACGCGGGCCAGCAGACGCAGTACAGCACCTGCACCGATAACAACTACACGTCATCGGTTTCCAAGTCCAACAGCGACTCGACAGAACGCGATAAACTCCGCGTGAGTAAAAAGTTTGGTAAAGATTTGAACCACAGTCCTGTGATGTTTCTGGACAGCGCGAAATCCTCGCCGGGCAGCCAACACAAGCTGAAGTTGCGAGACAAGGAAGGGGAGATAAACAATGTTGAATACATCGCGATGGAGTGCAGAAAAAATGGCAGCGCTCATTCGTATCTGTAGGCGTTATGACTTTACCTTTGTAGACACTATGTGCATGTATTATTACTCTTTCTTACGAATAATAGAAACAACATATCACTGCTCCAAAGAAAATTTAAAAACCGGAAAGATAAAGAGTCTGAACATAGAATATTTAAAGTTGGAAAAATGAAAATGGAATAAAGACGAGTAAATATGTAAGCGTAGCATCATCCAATATCAATTTGTAAGTGAAAATTTGATTCAGCATTGATGTGTCTTATTATCCTAAGCAATTGACTAGACGAGTATTCTAACGTTTGGCGTGTTCAGTTTATAGAATACAATATTCACTAATTTTAGGCGAAACATTGTTTTATTTTTTTAAAATATCGTTAAATTATATTTCTTTTAAATCACCAAACGTTGACATAAAAAATTTATAAAGCAAGCAATCACATACAAAACACACAGAACTTACACAGTAAAAATAATGTGTAGACCCTATTTTACCCGCAAGATTTTAAAATCATTTCCTTGACCATAGCCCCAGTAAGTAGATGGAAAAATCAATGGATAGATGATTCTATGTTTGTCAGTATAAATACACTTCTCATTGACACATGTATTGTTTTAAATACGTTTGATAAAAGTATTGATGACATTTTGAATACATAATTTAAAATACATTTTTTGCCTAAAACATGTTTTCCACCGTTGGCGTTGATAGGGTTAGAGGATATAGTAATATGTCCCGTGGATATGTTGTATATAATGTTGAGTGTACGGCAGCTGTTGTTCTGTTAGTATGTGTCCTGTTTGTGAATCCTTGAAACAAGAATATTCTAATGAGATAGCAGTTTGTAGCAATGATTGTATTTTATTGATGGAGTGGATACAGAAGCTAAGACCACGAAAATATTCTGTTTATTGGTGAATGTCAATAGCTAACACAAGGGAAATAACCTAGTAATACAAATTAAATTTACGTAGGTTAAAAAACAATGTGTCAAAACCTTCTGTAGAATAACAATGCTAATAAAGTATGAGCCATATTAATAAAAAGATTAATGATAGACACACGATACAAGTGTTGATGAATAAATTTATCAGACCGCACATAAATTATTAAATATGAATATATTAAGAAATCGCTTTTATTAAATGTAATACATTTATGCTCATGTTTTTTAAGTAAATAGGGGCATTTTTTGCGCATTGTCCATAATTTTAATCAAAATTAAACATCTAATAAGGCCTGTTTCGGTAGTTAATATTTTTATAACACTTTCCAGAGAACAGTTATCTCTAATTATATTCAAGTTAATAAAACTGCTTTTGTTTTATGTTAAACACACCTCGTGCATATTCATCACCGCTAATTAAAGCCACGTATGCTCATTAAGTTAATTATTTAATTAACTGAAGTTATTAAGATCTTCGTGGGTGGCTAAGAATAAAAGTGTGTTAATAAAGTTTTCTCTTAAGTGAGTCGACAATCTATCGATTATTGAATTAATTATGATAATGTAATAATTAGCAAACACGCTAATTAGTTAATTGTTTTCGAAATATAGAACATTTCAATCTTCCTGAAAAGAAAAAAAATCAGTGTACTCACTGCCATCATCAACGATGACGCACTTTACTGTGCGTGGTGAGATATAATTCAACTGCTCAACTTATAAATAGAAACATCTGTCTCAATTTGTATAAATCACTTTGATCTTATACATCATTATATTGTTATATATTCTAAAAAAGAATCCAGCTTTATTCATAATGTATTTTAGAAAGGCCTTCTTGCATTGATGTATTTATTTACATTGTAGGACTATACAAAGTTGGCTTAATTTAGGTGAACGTTATTTCACAAATCATATAATAAAACGCTTATAGAGTAATCAGTAGCGTAGCGAGGGGGGGGGGGGGGGGGGGGGGGCGGGGGGGGGGGGACATATGTCCCCGGGCGCCGACCTTAGGGGGCGCCAAAATGGGTTGGAAAAATAAATTGAAAGGTTGAGGGGGGTGCAAATCGAAAGTTTGAGGGAGGGGGGGTGCAAATAGAAATCTCAAGGGTGGGGGGTGCAAATCGAAAGTTTGAGGGGGGGGGGGGTGCAAATGGAAATCTCAAGGGGGGGGGGGTGCAAATGGAAATCTCAAGGGGGGGGGGTGTAAATCGAAATCCTGAGGGGGAGGGGTGCAAATCGAAAAGTTTGTCCCCGGGCGATGAGAAGGGTCACTACGCCTCTTAGAGTAATCTAATCTGTTGTTATAGAATTGTCAGACCAAAGCATTGGGCATCTGTTCCTTTGATGCATCTATTCACATTGTACGGCTTGAATTAGGCTAAGGTTAAGAATATTATTAATCTCATGAGGATAAAACACATGTAAGTAATACATGTCAAATTTTCATGTAATTTTTTTTTAAACTGGGAATTAAGAGCTTCACTGAAAACTACATCTTAAAAAATGTTATTAGACTTTATTATTATTATTATTATTATTATTGAATACAAAACTAAGTCTAAAAAATGCTTTCAAGATTTAGCATGTAGATGCACATGTTATTTCAATGTAAATATGTAAATAAAATACATTTATAAAAAATATCAGTCTTTACAGTTTCTTTATTGTTTTTTTTTTCTTCAGAAAATGCTTGTCTACTGTTAAACTAGCCATCATCAGGGACCGCAACTCATAACATTTATACATATCATAACATCATAATATATTTTAAGGCCATTTTTGTGAGAGTACTCTATTAACTGGAATAGGTGTACTAAACCTATGAAAGTAATAAATATAAATCGAGTATAACCTTTTTATTTCTATTTCTATGTATAGTGAGTTATTGTGGACACTGCCCAATGAGTAAACTATGAACAGCACAATGCCTTGCTAAAAATGTTTATACCGATACCGTCTATAGTAGAGAGGGTATGGATGTTGTCTTATTTTACTACAAACTTGAGATTTGAACCCGAGACATACATGTAAGGAGTCATAATAACTACCCCTTGACAATACAACAATATATATAAATATAAATAAATAAATAAATAAATATATATATATATATATATATATATATATATATATATATATATATATATATATATATATACAATATATCATAGAATGCGGATTGGAGTTCGGGATTAATGCTACCTTCTTCAAAGAACATTGATCTTGAAAGCATCCTTTACAACGTTGATGTAAAGTAAGCAAAGTATCCTCTCAAACCTGACGGTCCATGAAGCAGGTGAAGTAGAGCTCACCTGGTTCCGTTACCTCGACGTATAAGGGGATAGCGCGGTCAACACTATGCCCAGCATCCTTTACTTTCCCCAAAGTCATGTAACCACCTGAGCTGATTGGACTCAGTGACGTTTTACAGACAAGAACCAGTATTCGAACTCGGGACCTTCGGGTTATTAGTCGTATGTTCTTATCTCCAACCACGCCGTCCCATCGTTTTAACGTACACACAGGTATAATACGATCATGACAACATGTAATTATGTCACTGACAAAGCCATATCTGTGATCTAACCTTTTGCCATAGTGTCACTAAAACCGCCTTAATTTTGGATATTAAAACACACTTCTAGTTATTTAATTAAAGTGACATTTTTGCCAGGACAGTAACTTAAGTGAAGTGACATAAAATTGTGTCACTCACTGTCGCTGATAATGTCAGTGATGTTTCTCGGCCTGTGACGTTGTAAAAACTTTAAGGGGAGGAGGGTGGGGGGGGGGGGGGGGAATCCAAAATAGTTTTATATTTTAAACCAACCGAGTTTTTTTTTTTATTTTTTTTTTTTTTGGCACTTTAAACTAATTTTTAAAATCTTCTTCATCACAAAAAATATAAATAAAATAAATAGCCCATACATTTTTTTTTATTCTCCAAAATAGAGATGTTGATTATTCCTTTCTAACACTGAACTCTTCGGATAAAAAAGATAGATAAAAATAACTTTAAAAAATCGAATCTTGTAACCCGATGACCTCGACTAATACCTAGGTCCTAGGCTATCTTTAGAAAAAGGGCTGGCGTGGTCGTATGGTGTAGAGTGGGACTACTATTTTTATTCTGTATAGTTTTAAAGAAGATTAGTGCCTTTATTAGAGACAGACCATAAAAAAAACACCGTAATAATGATGGTAGGAGTCGGGGGGGGGGGGTCGGGTTTATGTGACCATGTGCTGCGTGTGGAGAGATGCTTGGGGGAAGGGGGCGCGAGGGGTTAAGATAGTTTGACGTCACTTGTTTCTATTTGGAATTGGTATTTCAAAAATTGTAATATTTGTATTTATTTTTGCATGTTTAAAGCATTTTTTGGTACTTTTTTAATGAAAATTAAAATATAATGCAATAATGGATCCGTTTCTCTAAAATGTTCAGCATTAATAAGGATTTGAGATATTTTAGGCTCAATCAACAAGCCCAGCTGTTTATTGATTCAAGTCCTGGCCTATGGATCAAGGGAGGCAACTCAATTAATATTTTTGGCAAATCATGATTGCATGGTTATTTCCTCTTATGGAAAAAACGAATAGTGTGTTGTTATTTGCTTTTTTTTCTCTTCTTTCTTTTGTTATGCTTTCTTTTTTTCTTGGGTGGTGGGGGGGGGGGGGGGGGTAAATTTCCGTAATGTTATAGTACCCTTACATTCTAGCCACTCAATCAATGTCAATTTAGTTTTCATTTTTAAAAAAAAAAACGTTTTGCATCTGCTTAGTACAATTTTCCGTGAACAAAAGTGTCGAATGAATTAACTCTTCTCCTTCGTTTAGAATTATAGAGCATATCTTGGGGGTAGGGGTGAGGTGATCAGCCTAAATTAGGCAATCCGTAGACTCGCCTTATTGGACTATTAATGACCCTAGACCAGAAAGGTCTATATTTCTGGACCAAACAACACTCCCTGGGTCGTCTGGGCGGTAGTGTGGGCTCAACAGCACCAGACTACAAAGAAATGTAGTGAAGACATTGTTTACATTTAAACAACTCGAATTAAACGAAAATTTGAAATTGGATATCTAGGAATATATGAAACTACAAAATGATATTCCGTAATGTTATTTAAACAACACTGCATATAAATGTGCGGTTTAATGCCGGTCTAAGTAAATTACTCGATACATTTCATTGGTAGCGTAATTTTTAAGTTACCAGGAATATTAAATTAAAACCACACTTTGAAATGATTTCCAAATGAAGTTGAATACAAAGTTTCTTTCCTTCCTAAATCGCAGCGACGCGCAGCTGGTAAGCTGGTTTAAATATAAACACAACAAAAATGTTTCGCACCATTTTGCACCAGTGCTTCCATAGCCGCGCAGTGCGAATTGAAGAGGTCACGTTACAAAGGATACAAGACAGCTTAAAAATGTAGGATTGTAAGAGGCAAGTTTCTTTGATTTAGACTTTAGTTATTTGAAGTGTTTTATAATATTAATGTATGTGAAAACTCCTCCTGACTCAATTCAAGCAGAAGGTCTTAAATAGTTAATGAATCATTTAGACAATTTGTGACATCAAGATTTCTATTTTGAAAAGACGTTGTTCCAAAGGCAACCTCATAAAATCTGTATAAGACGTCATCAGTAGTTGCGTGCATTGTGAAAGCGTCATCAGCTTAACATTTCCTCTAAGCTTTACAAACAATGGCGTCGTTAACGGCGTCCAACTTTTTACTCGACTGACTCGGACAACACAGCCACCAACTTGTACCATGGACTTCAGTAAACATGAATCGGACGTGGACAATCACAACACCAACCAAAACGAGGCTACCAGCCGCGCCAACCTCATGCCGGATCAGTTTCCAGATACGACTTTCCTGTCGCGTTCTACAGCCCCAGCTCAACAAAACTTGGAGGTAAATGATTTAAACCTTAAAGTAGACCCAGGTTACCACGGCATGGTTCCTGCCATCATAGTCACCCCTGCTTCGCCGGGTCAATTTGAAATCCATAATGACCGAAGCGATTTTAGATCCTTCGAGCAAACCTCGAACGAATCGAACTCTAGAAATCTTGAATTAGAATTGCTCTGCACTCCTGATACTGATACCACACTAAATATATCCCGCCCTGATATGGGGTGTGGTGAAACAAATAATGGCCTGGATACTATCAATGACGAGGATATAGAGGTGATATGTCGTTATTCCTCTACCCCTGTGATGTCAAACACCGCACGAAACGGACCGGGGTTGGAGGATTCTGATTGTAGCATGATGTCTCTGAACAACGCTAGTCCTATCGCCCCAGCTGACAGCTGCGTTGGTACCCCTATCAAGTCCATCCACCACGAGTTCGAGGCGGATGGTGAGAATAAGGTCACTTCCGGGGACGGCCATCAAGTTCAGGGTTCACTTCTGGTTCACCCCCAGTACGTATGTCAACATCCGGGTCAGCCACTGCTTCGCCACGACGGCGCCTCCTCTCAAGAACTGCAACCCGGCTTCGACGATGAACGAAACGTCAACCAGTGCTCTCTCCCGACAGCCTTGATCGTCACCGGCGCTTGCTCCAACACGCCGAACGTCTACTCCACCTACATGCCCGGGGGGTCGGGCTACAATGATTACTTCCCCACCCGTGACAGCTCTTGGACAGATTTAAGCTACAGTTCCGACCTCTCCCCTGTCCCGCCTATGTCTGGTAACCAAGGCGACCCGTGTTGTTACTCCATGATGAGCAGCGTCCCCACCGAGACCGAGTACTTCGTCTACCCCTCCATCTATGTCTCCAGTGCAGGTCTCATCTCAGTTCTACTGCGAAACGACATGTCTGTTGAAATGACCGTCGACCGCACCATCCGGGTGGTTTCCCACAATCACATGATGGCCGTTGCGACCGACAGCCGAGGCACCGCGGCATGCCTCTACCACCCGGCGGTCAAAGTCTTCCAGATCGGCACCACCACCGACATCGCTACTCAGAACTTCCGGGCTCGCATGGGCGGCGGCGACGCCATCGTTTTCTCCAACGGCATCAATTTTTTCAAGCTGGAAGACTCGGAACTTCAGCCGACCGCCCCCATCAAGTTTACTGATATCCTGCGTGACCAATCCGTCAACTTGCTGTTTTCGTCGGAAGGTTACGGCGAGTCTCTTGTGGCGAGTTGTATGCAGGTGGCGGCTCAAGCTGAGTACGCCAACCTTCCTAAAGGTGGCGTCATCGTCCGGATCAACGGGGTCAAGGTCACACAAACCGGCGGCGGTGACGTCACCGTGGTCACGGGGGCTAAATTTATCCGCCTGTCTCCTCATTTCGGCACTACGCGTCTAGGGAACCGGTTTGTCGACATTGAGGTGGAAAAGGACTGGACAGTCAAACTGACCCGCGGCTCCCATAGTTTTGTTTATTCCAAGAAGCGGGCCATGGTGTGTAACGGCAAGATGGAGGCCGGATTCGACGAGAACAACGGCCTCAAGGTCACCAACCTCCAGCCTCGGCACCCGCTTCTCGCCGAGCCGTCGGTGGTTCGGCGCCCGGTTAGAAAACCGGTTCGTGTGGCTTCCAGCTCGGGTACCCCCAAACGCAGGCCTGGCCCGCAAGGGATGGGGCGAGGTGGAGGCATGCTATAAATAGAACATTGTTTGATTCAACACATTTTAAAAAACAAAAAAAAAAATTGCCAAAGTGTTTATTTAGTTTTATATAAAAATGCATGTAACTATTTTTAGATTTTATTTTGCTTTGTCCTTTATTGAAGTAACTGTTTTTAAAAAATGAAAAAAAAATCGACATTAAATTTGGACTGACTTTTTGACGAATACTTACTTTTTTGTGACTGTTATTTCATTTTGTTTCAATATTTTCTCTGAACAATATTTTTCCCAAAAGCATTGAGAGTCCAGATTCTATTATATACATAAACATTTTAGCGAAGTCTAACAAACTAATTGTAAAAAAAAGCGATGGCTTATTCCACTAATGTCATGAATATTTATTTCAAAAGTTGTAACAGCATTTTATTATTGATGACGCTTTTCATGAAATCTACATTGAATAATGCACATGAAAGTAGTAAAAAATAAATAAACAACAACCAATCTAGAAACATATACGAGGTTGTTACATTGATATGCTTATAGTATTTTTATGGGGTTGTATTAAAAACATAAAACAAAAGCTCATATAAAATGAGAAATGTACTGAGTATTTGTAAATTATTAATAATTATTACACTATTTATAATTGAATAAAATCGTTTGATAAATAATCTATATCAACCTGGTTTTTCTTTATGTACATTTTTTGTGTTATATTAGAAATATGTTTTCTCTTGATTGTATAGTCCTACTTCCCTTGTTACTAATTTGCCTATTTTTTAAAATTCATGTTATTCATATAAATGTCTAGGTTAGCTTCTTAATTCTTTGTTCATTATTTGTAATGCTGGACGTGATTTCCTCCAGCACAATTAAGTATTACGTGTCAGCATTTTATGCACCATTTGACCCGTTGACTCCTATTTCGAAATGCTTTTTTTTCTGGATCAGTGTCTCTTCCAGACTTTTTTCTCGGGGGGGGGGGGGGGGGGCGGTGGGTGACTTGATATTTGGGTGGGGGAGGGGCGGACATTTGTAAAATTATATATTTTCTATGTAAATTCCATTTCATTCAGGAGGGGGGGGGGGGCGGCAGAGCCCCCCTCGAAGAGATGCCTGGAAGAAACTGTTCTGGATTTGCTTCCATAGTTTTTGTTCATTCAAGAACAAACTACAAGGTCGTTTGATGTTGTAGTTTTCTATACTCAATTAGTTTCTGTACTCTAGATACATTCTTGTCCCCAGTTACTCAGCCTCAACTGCCCGAGGGTTCGAACTCGGGACTTTCGGTTTAGCAACCATGAGCTGACCTCTATGGTTCCCTTGTAGAATCCTATTTTGTTCAATGATAAAAGCATATAATTTGAATATTTCTAATCAGTGGCCATAGCTTTGATTACAGAGACTATTTCAGTGTGTGAGAAATTGTTCTTATCAAGCAATGAACTCCCAATACGTACAACTATTCTGTTGTCCTATAGCTTTATTCATCTCTGTAGTTCTACAGCATAGGGCTATGGCCTGTTTCACCACCAACTTTCCTAAAGCCTTTCAGCTCAACAAAATAGAAAATTACACAAATATAACTAAGTTAGGGCTCAAATCTTGTAGCATCCATTAATCTGACTAGTTTTTTAAACTCGTCTCTGATAAAAATATTTAAAAATAACTTTGATTCCCACTTCAAAATATAAAGCACACACAAACACCTCAGCAAAGAAAGACTAGACAGTTTGGTCTAATACAAGTTTATTTCTATATCTCACAATTTACAAACTATTTAAAAAAAAAATTGAAAAAGTAAATTGCACATCAGTGTAGTACTATACCACTTTCACACTTCAACTAAACACTGAGTAAAAAAACATGTTTATATATGCATTTAAGTACATTACCAAAGTTTTAGGAACACACATTTACTGTGTAGTTTTTGCTACATGAAGACAGCACACTAAAACGACTAATGAGTTTCATCAATCTATTTGCTTAATCAAACAATGGAAAAAAAAATCATGTTAATATATGTCAAAAATTATTTAATATTATTTAAATTTCCATGATTCCATACTTTTAAGTTTTAAATATTTTAGTACATGGGTTCATGTTTTTAAAAATATAAAGCTTGATTCACAAAAAAACAAAAACTATTGTATGTATATACAGAAAAATAATTGCTATCAAAACTAAAAATGAACTCTATACATATTGCTTGATTAAAACAAAATAAAACCAAATAAAAAATGACTGGAGAGTATCAGCAATAAAATAAACTTAAATTGGTCCCTTGTAAAAAGTAGTTAAAAAAAGGAAAGAATACTAATACAATTAACAAAATCATGCAACAGTTTCAGTTATAGTTACTTCCACACTTAGATAGTGCAAACACTCTAACAGATGAACCATAAAAGCATTTTAGTCTAACAAACACAAATATAAAAACCATTGTTAACCCTTGATTGGTAATAAAAATTAAAAAAAAACATGTATAATCAAAGGAAGACCAGTCTTCAAAACCTTTTACATGTAGAATCCTTACAAAATGGTTGCCATAACTTTAGCCACTACAAACAGGAATATAATTAACAACTGTAAAAAAAAGTCTAACACAAACTCACCAAAACAACCAGCCATTTGAAACAGTTTTAAATATTTTTTTTTGCAGAGACTAGACAAGCTAAACCACACTACAAAATGAAATGCTAGAAACATATTGGAATGTTTTCAGTCACAAAACTTTGAATAACAAAAATATCAACTATTCACTTATCATCTATTTTTCAAAAGCTGACCATTTTGTAAAAAACAATCTTAAGACATTTATTTAAATTCTAGATCTATCTATTTTAAAATGAAAATAGTATACACAAAAAATGGCATTCTAATTTGTATATGTATATTTTTGTATTATTAATATTATTATACAATTTTTCTTTTAAAATCAGGCCTGATAACCAGTTACAAAAATTATAAACAGCCAATATTGCTTTTGCCTAAATAATAACATTAATTTCATTTACTGATACTTTACAGCTGTTATAGTCAGCTTAATAGTTGTGTTTCTAACTTATTTACCATCTGTATATACTAACTAGGGGCACAGTTCTAGATAATTTAATATCTCACTTACACAAAACAGAAGTAAGCTTCCTCAATGACCAAAAAAAAATACATTCTAATTCTCATCACATTCTTCACACAGGAATTGTAAAAATTATGAATTAGTAATAAGTAAACACTCTTATTTACTGAAGTTCAACTAACAAACATAATGGTAGTGTCATACTAACATTTTCATGAGACACTTGCATATGAATATTTTGCTTCAAGGCAAAAAATACTTGGTTTTAAATTAATTAAGTACATGTTCAATACTTGAATCAAAAGGGTTTGGTAAGGATTACACAAGGGAGGTAATGTTGTGCTTTTCAAAAGGGAAATAAAAGCAATATTGGGAGATGTAAAAACCACAAAAGGTAGTGGCAGTAAAAATAAAATACTCACAACACGTATGCTGCTTGTCAGAAACTTATGCAAAACAATTATCACTTTTGTGATAGTTATCTTTGTGTTTCAATACTCAGGAATTGTATTTTAGATTGAACAGATGGGGAAAGAATCTGATAATGACAAAACAACCATAACAGATATGTGTGTCAACGAGGCTGATATTTTGTTCATGAGCTCGCTTAAACAAACAAGGTCAAATTCTAAAAATAACAACCGATAAAAAAATAATTATTTCTCATATTTAAAAACAAACAATCCCATTTGGTAAGGATCCCCTACAAAGCATTTACAGTATAAAAATTAAGTTATGGATGGTAATAACAAGTTTCTAATACAAGTTATTTGATTCAGATATGCTTCAAAATATTTTTGAAATTCACATCTTGCTCAAAAAGAAAGGATTATACCAAAAAAAAAATATATATGTACTAAACAATGGAATAATTATTATAAATTCAATTTATATTAGGAATTCCAATTACTGTTAAGGTCTTGTTTTCTAATTAATTTCAAACCATTCAATGATTACAAAAACTAATGTCCATAAAAGTTAAACATATGCTAAAAACATCTTACTACAATCCCACATAGCTATGGTACTACAAGTGCAGGAAATTAAAAGCTACGTACACTGTCAATAAGCCTTACAAAGCATACAAACATATACCAATGTGAATAAACAGAGGTGCCTCTGCAAACAACGAATGCAAAAAATAAATCTTCCTTACATTTGACATAATAAGTAAACATAAAGGCCACTAGAGTTACAGAATGATTCTCTAATTTTTAATTAACTCTACATTGCACTGGGCTATCAGTTACTGTGATTGCACACCTCACTACATCAACATAATTAAAATAATATAATCAAGTAAAACATTATCACATGTGACATATTAACATTCAACACACGCTAACTTAAAATTGCACGCATTACTCTCTGATAAAAGTAGTGTAAGAAGGTCAAATAAGTTACATTTTCAAAATCTTCAACTTTTTCTTTTTAATTTATTTAAAATGTGAATTTTTTTACATTTTTAATTTGCATCAACAATCTATAAAATTTTTAAATTTGCTTGCATTTGTTATCTTAGTAATGTTTCACCAACTAAAATTTAAAAAAAAATACTATTATTCTAATATTGATAAAACTATTCACATGAATCAATTTAAAAAAATATAAATATTTTTAAAAAATATTTAGATCTATTTCTTCCTTGCCTAAATTAATTTAGTAAATAACATCTTCCAGTCAGTACAATATACCACTACATTCTCTCCCCATACACTCAATACATTAATGTCATTAATCAAGTAATACTCTAATTCTTATCATTTGTAATGTTTTCAACAAACACCAACAAATGGACTATACAGACTTAAAAATATAAACATCTAACTTTGTTGAAGAAAATGTACATGGAACTATGTACTATAGAATAAAAGTTAAAACAAGAACAAATATTGCTATTGAGCAGTCATGACTATGCTGGTTCAATTCTCTTGTCTACTCCATTCTCCTACCCTTCTCCTACATTCCTGTGTAATTAGTCCTTATATAATAAAAAGTTGTCGCAGTTTCAGGTAGATGAAATTTATTTGCCATTTTCAAATATTTCTTTGAAGATCAAATATATGACCTGTCCTTAATGATGAATCCCTTGATTACATGTTGCACTGTATGAATTGTGAAGTGTAAGTGTAAGTTACAGTATGGTCTGTTACGATGGGTCCATCTAGATATCAAGTTGCGTAGATCATCTTTTACTTTGCTGTATGTGTGGTCTTGCCTACATGGTAAACTGTACAAAATACATTGTATTATAAAAAGTCAATTTACTAATCAGTCTGAAGATCATCTTTTATTTTTCTGCAATGGGTGGTCTCCTGCTATATGAAATGTGAAGTGTAGGCTACAATGGTTTGTGTTATAAGTCTGTCTATCTTTCTGTCTGTTTGTAGCTCATCTTATTCACTGCAGTACTTAACAATTTCAAACCAGCAAACATAGAAACAGGTTGTTGATTTCTTTTAAACAACACCATCAGCGAACCATCACCTATGCAAATAAGAAACAAATATCTCATTAGACGTGAAGTTTATAAAATTTATATGCCATAATAAATAGATACTAAACTAAAAAAAACTAACTTAAAATATTGTCAAAAGTGTTTTAGTGTTATTTAGTAATACAGCGCACAATTGTTAAATTGAAAATATTGAAGTTCTATTTCATTTTAGAGTTATGTTGCATTCCTTATAAGTCATAGACACAAATTGCAAAGATCAAGCAACAAGACATATTGCTAACCAAACAATCCTTTTTATGATGAAGCTGAGGTCACAGAAATTAGTAAACTCTACTTCTTCTACGTCACTAAATGTGATATGAGACAAATCTTCTTATATAAATCTAAATAAAACCAAATGATTTAACTTTGCAAAATAAATTACAATTGTTCACTAATAAATAAATTAAAATTTCTAGAGACTTGTACTTACCTTTCCATAGAAAATGTCTTATTAATGAAGTAAGATATTTATTAATGAACTAAATTTCCTATAAATAAAAATATCAATAACTCTTTCAATTTTAATAATATTGTGTAAATGTAAACATCACATTGACTATTCACTATTTAACTACAGTATTATCTAATCCTACACACATATTAGCTAAAACAAGTGAACTAAATACAAAATAATATACCTTTAAAGCCTTACTGTTATTGCAAACTAAAGTTTGTAAATAAAACCAAAGTACTAGATAGCTTGGTGCATTTCTCACTCTAAACTATAACAGCTGACAGCAACATAAAATTAACTAAAATAAGAAACAACAGTTACTTTAATAAATCAGGGAATTAAAGAAACAATTTCAGATGAAAAGCAAAGGTGAAAACAAATTATTTTAAGGCATTTTTTCTAGTTAATAATTACATGCAACACAGGCAAAATAATTATACGTTAATTACACTTTATTTTTGGTAGATGTTTGAAACAATTTTTGTTGAAATTAATGGAAATATAGTTTATCATTAAAAATACTTTCTACCAAATAAAGATGTAATATTGTTTTCAGTGTTACTCAATTATTAAAAGACTTTAAATATTAGGTAAAAGAAATAAAATAGCAAACAAGAGGTTTGATAACAATTAAAATATATTTTGTTAGTGTTTAAGTCTACTGTAACACTATTTTAAAATATATCTTTTTTTTTCAAATTTACATTTTGATTAATAATTAATTATTACTTAATATTTAGCTGAACAAAATTTATGACTGTTAGTAACAAAGAAAGATACAATTATAATTAATGAGTTGATATACAATATGAGGAAAAATAAATATATTACAAAGTGCAAACATGTGAGTAAAATACAGCTATAGATTAAAACATTTTTAGTAACAAATGTTAGGTATTAATGTTTAATAAAATAAAACATTTTCTAAATAGTATTGGTGAGGAAGGTGCATTTTAAAAAATACAGTTTAACAATAGCATGCATTGGGTGAGGTTACCAAATATAGCCATAGGGGACATAACTTACATGAATCTCATTGCAAGACACATTTCTGTGTGATCTCCCCTACACCTTGTGCCATTTTGGCAGGTAATTCACTGACTTTGGAGGACAGTTCACTTAGATTTGGGGGAAATTCTGTAAAATATGAAGAAAACAAAAACGAGCTACATTTTAATTTTTCTAAGATGCCCGAAGTCTTACTTCATACCATAATTTTAGTTAGAATTTTTTTTTTTAAGGAATAGCCATTTGACAAATAGTATTACTTTCAAAATTGACTTTAAGTTGTTATATCTATAGTTATAACTTATTCAATGTAAATAATTATTAAGTGCATATGTAATAGAAGAGGAATATATTTGTATTAAATGTATACCAAATCTAACACTGACATTTGGAGCTGAGGGTGAAATATTGCAAAATCATAGGGTAGATATAGTCAAGTCAAACATACAGTGTAGTATCATTCCAGAGCAAGCCAAGGGTTAACTTATAAAGAATAGTAGGCAAAAAACATGAAAAACCAAATTATTTGTTACAATAGCCAATGGAAGTGAACAATATATAGCCAAATGTAACAAATATAAGGAAAATATTGGACTAAACTACTGCAAGTAGAAATGTATACAACACAATTCATTGTATAAAGTAAGTCAGTCTTTACATGATTAACAGACAAAATATATTAAAAGTACAGTATGTTCCAATCTATGCAAGGCATAATTTTTTGAATTCTTTGTGTAAATTTGAATTAAAAGAAATTGAAATTAATCATGCTGAAAACTAATGTGAAATAGAAAGTAAATCAACCATAAGATCAAACCTAAAAAATCTTTAGAAATCAATGAGAAATGCACCAAGTTATTACGAATTCACTTCATTGTTTTAAATACATACTTTTCTAATATTTTTAAACTGTTAACATTATTTAAATACATATTATTTATATTTTTTTCAACATTGCATACACAAATTGTATCGAATTTGTCCTTACTATTAAAATGTTTATTAAACATCAATTAATCATACTAATTCAATACATTAATTTTCCTGAAACAAATGTTGACACATATAAAATTTACATATTTAATGTTAACCAAACAATCAATTTCTAAAACAAATCCAACGTTTCCCTGTTCTGTTAGACTTTTCTTCCATATAATGTGAAATCCAATATGAAGTAGCTAGAAGTCAGATGTAAACTTTAATGATGTAATCTCTAAACAAGTAAATCAAATGTTTTGTAATTTTAAACGGCTGGATAAATAGGTAGGTTAAACACATTCCTTCAGTGCTCCCTTGCCATAACAAGGCAAAAAAAAAAAAAAAAAAAAGCAGCAGATAAAAAAAGGGGCTCTATAATATTATGGGCAACTTAATGGTTTTTTTTTATTATAACAAATTTTAAGAGTAACAGGATCTAATTCAATGCTTATGAGGAAGGGGATGGGGGGGGGGGCTGCTCAAATTAATCTAATCCTGAAGACCAGTCAAACATGTTAAACTAAGATTTAAAACAATGAACGCAAGTTGTAAATTAACACTGACAATTTATTACTGTTGGTAGAACAATACAACATGACACCTGTATAAAGGGGAATGCTGATATTCAAATAGAATAGAATACAAACATATAGAAGAGAGAGAGAGAGAGAGATCAGAGAGGCTAAGAAAAAAAGAAATCAATATGGAAGCAAAAATACCACATATACAGTAAACAGGAATAGAAAAGTCATATTTTGAACTTATGTTTGAAATTTCATGATTTGATCTATATACAAAACAATTTCATTGGCACATGAAATAGAAGTAAAACGATAAATCTGAGAATTTTAAAAATCAACTAATTCCTAATTTGAAAAAAAAAAATTAGAACAAGAAACTAACATTTATGATAGACCTAGTCTAAGTGTAGTTTTAATAAATGTAGGCTTTTGAGTTTTACTATTTTAATTAATGTTTGTACAGAAATATGAAATAAAATTTCAAATATTCTATTTTATGTTAGTAATTTAATAGCAGGCTACCAATTTAAGAATACATGGATATTTCCACAGGAAGTTAAATCTGACTAATATATTCATTTTATTATTATTTCTTTGCCTACACAAGTTGAAGTTAAAGGTTATAATATTGTTTACAAAAGTGAGATAACAGTTCATATTAAAAAGATCCTGATAATATATGCCATTGTGTAAATATTATCAACTGGGTAAAACAATGCGTCACATGTAAAATTAAGATATAAATATTTTAGAATGAAAAAAAAATATATGTCAATTTGATTTAAATAGAGTAAGGTATAAGAAAAGATCTTTTTATAAGTGAATAGAAATAAAATACAATTGGAAGTAAAAAATTATGCTAAGATTAAATCATCTAAAAGCATGGCATATAAGAGTTCAAACTTCAGCAAGTCAACAGTGCATTTTGGTAGCTCAACAAAGTAATCTTTGTGTAACAGATACACCATTTAAACTACGTTAACATTAACTCACTAAATTACAATGGATAATGTAAAATTAACGTATCATATAAAACCTTTTTAAACAAAAAATCACTAAAGTCAGTGAGATTACTTGATATTAGTTACTTCAAAGTATGTGTACATTTAGAGTTAAAACATTATTTAATTAGTTTAACAAAATGAATGTTAATCTAGAAAAAAAAACACCACGAACTAAACATTTATTATTAACAATACATTTTCTAATGATAGCTGAAATAATTAAAAACAAAATTAATAAATAGATTATAACCTTATACATAGGAGAAGATGATTAGCAATTAATTTTTCAAGGCTATATATATCACATGGGTGCTAAAGAAGATTTAATCACATTGGAACATATGTATCAAGTATGTTACTAGAACCTAATTAAACAGACACAAATATTTTGGTGTCAGATTTTTTTTTATAATTTGAAATGTATTGTTAGTAGAAGTGTCTATGTTTAAATTAGTTATTTCTTTTAAAAAGTAACTTTTTATCCTACAACAAAAGTCCCAACTAAATTCAAAACTTGACGAGAACATTTAATTGACAAACAAAAAACTTAAATTTTGAGCGGAGAATTAAAAATGTTTAAGTAAGTAAGCACGAGTTCATATACACTTATATATATAATATATATATATATATATATATATATATATATATATATATATATATATATATATATATAATATAACTTAAATGATTTAGCCAGTGAATTTCAGTACAACCAGCACTGAACTACTAGACTAAACACAAGTGATCTCAATACAACAACCTGGGTTACTTTGCCTCATCAAACCTCAACTGACAGGCTATTTCCTTTAATAACTCTGGTCACTAACTGAACAAAGTTAATTATTATAGAAACCTTTTCTTATCATTCTTTCCTGTCCTATTTTTCCCTTTTGAAGTGACCAGTGCTTTCATTCTAATGGACTGAGTTAATTTTCTTTATTTAAAATCTAGCCATTAGACTGAAGGAAAATATATTAATCCGTTAAAACAAATTTAATTCTTCAATTTAGCCTAGATCTATAGATTATTCTGGAGTATCTATCTACAAGCTAGACTAAGTAGCTAATGAATAGGTCTAGTCATAGAATATAGGCCCAGTTGAAGTGGTTTTTGATATTAATATTATTTATTCAATTTTTTTTAAAACTGTTATTTCTGAAAGGTAATCCTAGATATCCATGGATCTAGTATAGATCTATTATAACCCAGATCTAGATTTATTATGACTAAGAACAACAGTGCTAACAACAAGTCATAGACTAGTAATTCTATTTTTACTGTTGTGTCTGCCTTTGTTTATTTGCCTAGAGTGTCTTCCCTTTCTAGCAATGCCACTGTTAAACTAATTACCTGTTTATAATGACACAGAAATATCACAAAGAAAAAAAAAGCCAATTTAAAAGTGTACTGTAGTGTGATCATTATTAGGATAAAAAATGGGTGGCTAAAAATGAATATAAAAAAAAGTTCTGTCGTAAATTCTTTACTCTTCTCCATCGAATGAATATTAGCAATTTTTTTGTGTAATTTGCGTCATAGGACAGAAAATACAAAACCAAAAAACAATTATTTTTAAAAACAAGATAATATTCATATTATAGGTAGTCATGAAGTTCAGCTAATGAATGGTGTTTGATTACCACAGTTAGTTAACTTTGTTGATAAGCTAAGAAATCAATTCTAGCTAACACTGTAATGAAATAAAAAAAATTAAAAAATTCTTCTCTTTAAGGATTTTTTTTCTATTTGGGTAGTGATGTTGAAACACTTGGCGTTTTTCCCAGATTTTGTTAAATGAACTGATTCATAGGTGGAATTTTGCTATCGAAATTTCACCCCAAAAATTTCAGTTCAAGCTCTGATGAAATGCAATATGACGTGAACACTGGGATCATCAGATGATTAGTTAATTAAAAAAAAGAATTTAAGATTGGTAAATTGACTAAAATGCTATTAGTGTTGAGCTGTTAACACATTTTTAGTGCATTCAATTAGTGCAATTTTAAAAAAATTCAAATTTTCTTAATGCTAGAAAAAAAAATCTATTAATGCTTTTTATAATAACAAACTTGTACATTTAACAAATTTTATGCACTAATAAGAATAAAATAAAATGATAAGTAGGCCAGTCAATAACTATAAATAAAAATGTGGTGCGCTCAAACACTCTAAATTTGAGTATATGAAAAATGTAATAATACTATCCACTTTTGGCATACCTGTAGCCTATTTAAAAATATAACCATTATGCATGAATGTTGACACTTAGAGATAATGCTATAAGTTAAGAAACTTTTAAGCTGTATTGCAACCCACATTTTATTGTTTAAATATATATAAATATATGAACATTATATATATATATATATATATATATATATATATATATATATATATATATATATATATATAATGTTCATAGCTGTTTGTTTTTGTTTGTGTAACTTATTTTTATTCCTATATAGTTGTTTTGTCTGTTTAAAACATGTACAGCACTACACAAATGTTAACACAGTAAAATTCATTAGATAATATGCCAACAAAATGCAAAGTTGGGTACATGTATATTGGAGAAAAAAAAGGATCTTCAAATTTCAATACAGTATTTATACTATAATATTTTGTAAAAAAACAAATTAATTGTCACACAATACACGTATTTCACCATACAGTACGACGAACACAACAGAAGCCACACACCTACACAAATTTTAAGACACAGCAACACAGTTCACATGAAAGTGATGAAGATATAATAGTTTTCTAGCTGAAATGCCTCCAGCTAGGGAATCACAATATGGTGTCTCTGTTAGTTAAATTTAAGGTTAAGGTTATAATCAGAGCCGGGACAGGGATTAGCGCCAGAGCTAGGGTCTTTACCAGAGTTAGGGTTAAGAGTTAAGACTAGGGTTAAGGAAGAGACACAAGTGGCATCACATTATCTGCTATTTAGTAAGCACCGGTATGTTTTTATTTGAAAATACAGATTCTTTTAAGCCAAAATATATTTGATTATCATTTTTTGGATGATTGAAGTTACCCATGTGCGATAATAGACTCTTCCAAAAATAGGTTGTTAGTAGTACTGTAATCTTGACTAGTTTTATAGCTAGAAATTAGGGTTAGGCACATGGTAGGACCAGGGTTGGGGTTTTTGTTAAAGATAGGGTGAGCAAGCGATGCATGTATTTTAGTTGACTACCAGTAGCCTAACACCCTTTTTTTCAGAAAATTCTATTATTGGACGCTGGTATATTTTTATTAGAATCAGATTCAGTGAATAAATAATGCTTCCATTGATTTTATATAGCTTTTGACAAAGGCAAAAAAAATAATCTTAAGAGTTGTTTGGTAAACATATCACCAGGACTACATGGGTTTGTTAACTACCTTTGCAAGGATTTACTAGTTGACAAAATACATCATTTTAAAACTCTCAACAGCGCTTTTATTTACATCAGATTGTTTTTATGATAATTAAAAATGATGAAGGCATGTGAAAGATGAGGAAAAAACTAATTAAACGAGATGAGAACAATTACATTAAAATAGAACAAAAAATATTCTAAAAATGGATTTTTAAAAGTTAAAAAAAATAAGATTCACATTCAAAACGACATTTTTTTTAACATTTGTTACCCAGTAAAACTTAATAAATAATTTATCTTTTTCTTCTAATCTAAGTCTCAATGGTTATTAAATTTTTTTTCTTAAAACTCATATTAACGTCATTGAGATACAATGCAATTCTAGGCCCACATAAGTGATAGACGTTTACCCAAAATATATCTCGATTTTATAAGAATAAAATCATCTGCCTTTTTTTTCCAAGTGTTGTTTCCTATTTTACTAGATCAATCTTGTGTCTACATCATGTACACAGAGTACTGCATTATTTATACAACAGAAAAGTTTCCCTTTCCATCTTGAAAAAAATAATATGAAATCTTCGTAAATCAAGCACACTGTCATTAAAATATGATCAATGTGAACATACATGACAGAGTAATAAAACAACAAGTTAAAATATACAATAACAATGGAGCAGGTCATGAAACAGAATTGGTCCAATTTTGGCCCAATATATCTACACTGAAAACTAAGAGCAGTTTTTGTAAACAGTAACATCCACCTATAGACTAGTAGAATCGTTTCTAATTGTCTCCTCATGTTGATTCTCACATAGATATTTTGAAACTAGCTGGTTACATTTATACGAGCGTCAATTCAAGAAACAACAAACAAGAATTCGAGTGGCTAATCTTGACAGTAAAAATAATTATCGTCATATAACCTTAAAAAAAATTAATAATTAATGATGCATTGTTCAAACAAACACATTAATTTTATAAAAAAAAGATAAACAATGTAGAAGAAAGATAATGTATGCGAATGGACCATATGAATGTGTTCTGATAGAGGATGATTTTAACATTGTTTAGTAAGTACATTTTGTAAATCTGAATTTTTATAAGCTCCACTAAAACACAGTGAAGATAAAGAGAGTAAAAGGTAACCGGGTACATTGGAAAAAAAAAACAACAACTGAAACTTCACTGAAATTTTAACATGTAACTTCAATAAGATGGAAACAATACTGTTTTAAATCAGATGAATAAATAAATACACAGTCTAAACATGAAAAATAACACGATATTCCAAAACGTTTCACAAGATGTCAAATCCATCACTAAATGTTACCCCAGTGTGATGTGAGGTTGGTCAGTGAGATCAACTGAATGATGTTCAATGCATTCTTCAAATTAATTCACCAGCCTGCAATAGTACTTTTCTATCATGAAAGTATCAGGTAAATTAGTTCAATGATTGATTTCTTTTCATTTACTATCAACCTACATAATTCCAATATCTGGCAACAATAGTCAGCTATCCAGGATCCTTATTCTAACCAAGGGCACCAATCAATGGTTGCCTGGTACCTCATTATAGAAAAGCACTGCAAACACTCAGTGGAAAATAACAAACAAACAAACAAACCCAGAGCAGATGTTTTTTGCTGTGGTATAACCTCTAAACACAGTAATCTACAGACATAAAACATTTTTCTGCCAAACTGTGTAAGCAAAAGCATGATCAATGATTAAAGGCCTTAATTAGCGCTAGGCAAACAGAGATAGGTATGCATCTAAATTGTGAGCAAAAGCACTTCTAAATCACTTGCTATGATGAAGGGTACGGCAGATTCTGTACAATGTTTTTGGTAATAGGGCCAAATTTTGTATGCATTATTTTAATAGTAAGTGATAGCTTCAAAGATAAAACAAATGTATTTGCATAATTCTAGACTATACACTGTGTTGATAGCTAATTATTAAAATGTATAAAACGAGGGAATTGGAGTGGTGGGAATGGGTGGGGAAGGGGTTTGGGGTCGACCTAGCCTAGTCTAAAGTGGATACCTAACTGACACAATGAAATTTGATCAACATAGGGAAAGATGAAGGCAACAGATAAACAGATAGATGTACCATGTTAACATAGGAAGGTACCCTGTAAACATAGGATGGTATCCTGTCAACTTAGGGGGGTACCCTGCCAACTTAGGGAGGTACCCTGCCAACTTAGAGAGGTACCCTGCCAACTGAGGGAGGTACCCTGCCAACTGAGGGAGGTACCCTGCCAACTTAGGGAGGTACCCTGCCAACTTAGGGAGGTACCCTGCCAACTTAGGGAGGTACCCTGCCAACTTAGGGACGTACCCTGCCAACTTAGGGAAGTACCCTGCCAACTTAGGGAGGTACCCTGTCAAATTAGGGAGGTACCTTGCCTACTTAGGGAGGCACACTGCCAACTGAAGGAGGTACCCTGCCAACTTAGGGAGGTACCCTGCAACACATATGGAGGTACCCTGCCAACTTAGGGAGGTACCCTGCCAACTTAGGGAAGTACCCTGCCAACTTAGGCATGTATCATGTTAACAGTTACAGACGTGCCCTACCAAAGCAATCACCCAGCTAATTAACACAACCAACTAGTAAGCCCATGAGCATACATTAGAAAACATCTAAAACTCCAATTCTTAACCCCTGGAAAAAAATACTTCTCTAACACAAAATCATCTGATATTTCATTGCTCGTACCCTTCATACCCTCTAATTCATTACAGTAAGAAATAGCAAGTTAGACAAAACAATGCAACTAAACATGTCATAAACTTCAGTCTAACGACCAAATTCACTGTTAGGTGAATCATCTGCTAACACAAAAACTCGCTGATGTCCTTTACCATCTTTTGAAACCTGAAATCTTTACACTCAATACTATAAGCAAGTATTATGTCGATGCCCAACTATTTCAACGTATGTGATCAGCTACGTTTTCATATGTAGGCATCAAATACAAATGTAGATCCGACTACAATGAAGCGAGTTCAAATCTATACTATGACACATAGAAAGTGAGTATGAATCTACATCCGACTATAATACAAAATACGTGAGCACATACTTCAATCTGACTATCACACAAATTATGTGAGTATGTATGTCTATCCGCCTATCATACAAAATATGCCAGCACATATCTCTATCCGTCTATCATACAAAATACGTGAGCACGTATCTCTATCCGTCTATCATACAAAATACGTGAGCACGTATCTCTATCCGTCTATAATACAAAATATGTGAGCACGTATCTCTATCCGACTATCATACAAAATTCATGCAGCAGCAAAGTGAGGAGAATTTACTTGCGAATTCTTCATCGTCCGACTCTTCTTTGTTGGCCTCTGCCGCTAATTCAGCCGGCGTCTTCTTCTTTCGGCCAACTCTGCCGTCGGCCATAGGGTCAGGCTCTTCTTCTTGAGCCTCTTCCTTCTTCTTCAGTCCGTACTGAAAACAGACAGGAAAATGTATGGATAGAATAGGAGAAAAAATGGGTGGATTTTACTGGAAAAGAAAAGGTGTGCATATAATAGGAGTAAAAATGGGTGTATTTTACTGGATAAGAAAAGGTATGCATATAATAGGAGTAAAAATGGGTGTATTTTACTGGATAAGAAAAGGTATGCATATAATAGGAGTAAAAATGGGTGTATTTTACTGGATAAGAAAAGGTATGCATATAATAGGAGTAAAAATGGGTGTATTTTACTGGATAAGAAAAGGTATGCATATAATAGGAGTAAAAATGGGTGTATTTTACTAGATAAGACAAGGTATGCAAATAATAGGAGTAAAAATGGGTGTATTTTACTGGATAAGAAAAGGTATGCATAAAATAGGAGTAAAAATGGGTGTATTTTACTGGATAAGAAAAGGTATGCATATAATAGGAGTAAAAATGGGTGTATTTTACTGGATAAGAAAAGGTATGCATATAATAGGAGTAAAAATGGGTGTATTTTACTAGATAAGAAAAGGTATGCATATAATAGGAGTAAAAATGGGTGTATTTTACTGGATAAGAAAAGGTATGCATATAATAGGAGTAAAAATGGGTGTATTTTACTGGATAAGAAAAGGTATGTATATAATAGGAGTAAAAATGGGTGTATTTTACTGGATAAGAAAAGGTATGCATATAATAGGAGTAAAAATGGGTGTATTTTACTGGATAAGAAAAGGTATGCATATAATAGGAGTAAAAATGGGTGTATTTTACTGGATAAGAAAAGGTATGCATTTAATAAGAGTAAAAATGGATGTATATTATTTGGTAGGAGAGGGGGTCAGCGTGGTCCAGCCGGTAAAGCTCTTGGTTGCTAAACAGAAAAGTCTCAAGTTTGAATCCTCAAGCAGATGAGGCTCGTTAGCTGGGGACAGACACTCTTCTAGGAGAGACAACTCCATAATGAAACAACTGCTGCCTTGTAGTTTGTTCTTGGTTGGACAAAGGCTATGGAAACAAATCCAAAAAGAAAAGCAGGCTGAAATTGGAGTCTCAATAGGGCATAACCAGTTGACATGTATACTTAATTGTGTTGGAGGGGATCTCTTCCAACACTAAAATTAAGAATGAAGAAGAAGATGGGGTAGGAAAATGTATTCAGATAAGAGGAATAAAAATGTAAGTATATTATCAATTAAGAAAATGGTAGCACACAGTTGTTAATAGATGGCTTAAAAGTGTATGGATATTACTGGGTAACAAAATATGCACACAAAAAAAGATGCATCAACATGTAAGTATATCGTCAGCTAAGAAATATAAAAAAAGAAAAGTATAAGAATATATTAACAAAGAAAAGTATAAGAACTTCATCAAAAGCATTGTCTGTCACTCATTTTGTTAAACGTTGACCTAATTCAATTTATCAATGAGCAAGTTCAAGAACTTATTTTCTAATTATTAAAATGCAATCCATCCAATATGTATCCCTAGGTATCCCAGTCTATTTCTGTAATTATATTAATATTTTCTTTAAATGTAAGGGTCTATTAAACATAAAATTCTATTTAGAATCATCCCTGAAATGAACCAAGTATTAATACTGGGGAGAAGAGTGATTTCTGTGATGTGAAACTGAAGAGGGTTTCCACATTTTTATTCTCCGTGAAGTTCAATGAGAAATTAGCTGCCTCTTAAAATTAATGTATTTTGGTTGAAAAAGGGAGAGAACAATTAGGCACTCAAGGGAGAAAATCGTCTTGGAATAAAACGGATGAGAACGTCATGGACGCGAACACTTGTGGAACGAAATCCCATTTCCTGTATTACATTTGTAGTGGGAATAGAATACAAGAATGGAGTCTTGTGTCCACTGTTTGGCCTATTTGAATAACCATCACATACAACGTTGATCATAGGTGTTCGGTTTTTTTTTCGTTATTTATTTATTTTTTAACTTGTAAATTGTAAAAAAAAAATGTGTTCGTTATTTTTTTTTTTTTTTTTTTTACTTTTAAACTTTTTTTTAGATTATTTATCCCTATATGAGAACACCGTAAACCACTTTGCTAACCACTTTGTTTTAAACTATGTAAGTAACTCTTGATGTTGATTCACCTGTTTCAACATCTTCATTTGCCGTCCGTGCCCAAAACACATGGGGCAGATGAAGTAGAGTTTATCTGCTTCAGAGACCTCGCCGTATGTAGGGATAGTGCCCATAGGTGTTCATATACCAACGAAATGGGGGGGGGGGGAGATAAATAAAATAAATATATTCGCTTTTACATTGATTCTATTCTGTAGAGAATTAAGGCTGATAACAATATGACTAATTACTTAATAAAATTGTCAAACGTGGGTTACCTATAATTATTTAACATAACAGTAACAGAATCAAAAGCTTAAAATAAGAATTTTTTTTTTTTTTTTTTTTTTTTTTTTTTTAAAGTTTGGTAATAATTTTATTTGAATCTGAATATTTTTCTCTGAAGTGAATACTGAAATATGTAACCACGAAATCAAAATTCATTAAGGTAAGAATACGGTTAGTTACAGCTCAAAAATCAGCGGTGAAATGAAATGACAATTGCCATTTGTATTTTATAATGAGGCGTATCAACTATCTAATGAGGCCGCGACCAGTACGAATACACGCTCAAAAGTATAGCCAAATAAACAACAAACCTACCACCTCTTTTATGCTTCCTTCCTGCTATTTATATAATAATAATAAAAAAAATTTCCTACTCCGTATATTAAATGATCCTCACACAGGAATCTAATTTGACCACCCAGCGTTAGGGACAACATATTCTCTCCCCTGTCCGAGTTGCGAGGAGCTCTAATCTCCCCTGGCTAGTAGTGAATTATGAGAGGGCACTAACATCTTTTAAGGAAATCTTATAAATAACAGCGTGGGGGAATAGGCCAAGAAAAATGTAATAATAATAATAAAAATAAAACTACAGAGGATGTGGAGCTGTTAGATCGCGTCATACGACGTTGTTTACTTTAAAGCTAGCCCACAAAACACAACCTAATTTTGCTGCCGAGGCAGCAAGAAAGACCTGGCTTTCTTGCAAGACCACGGCAAACAATGTACTTTTTTCATTTTAGCCATTTTTGCTTTGTATGCTTTTCGGTCATCTCATCATAATTTTGGTTTGCTTTTTAACAACTATTTTCATTTGTTTGTCTTCTACTCCTTATTTTTGATTGGCTGTTACATTTTCGGTATATATATATATATATATATATATATATATATATATATATATATATATATATAATAAATAAAACGTTATATATGTATATAATAAATAAAACGTTATATATATATATATATATATAATAAATAAAACGTTATATATGTATATAATAAATAAAACGTTATATATATATATATATATATAATAAATAAAACGTTATATATATATAATAAATAAAACGTTATATATATATATATATATATATATATATATATATATATATATATATATATATATATATATATATATACACAAGGTTTTTGCGTTTGCAGTCGTTTGCTCTATTGTCTAAACATAAAGCTAATTTGTTTTTGAACATGCTATTGCATTTATCTTTTAAGAGCTAGAGGCAGTTTCAGAGCTGAATAAAAGAACGCACACTTCACTGAAAAGGTGGGTACATCACGATAAAGACAATAAATTTATAGTTGTTACATATTTATAAAATTAACATTTTTTTTTCTTGTTGGCTTAAAATGTAACAGATTAAATTATGCAGAGAGGTATAAAAGAAAAGTGAAATAAATTAAAATGACTTAATCAGCTATTTGTGTATTTTGTGCAGTTTCTTTAAAAAATAAGCCGTCTATATTTTTCATGTTCGTTGGCTAATGATTAACATAATTTTCTTTAGCAACAGTAATGCAGTTGTATTTTAGTTTTTTGTTGTGAAGTTTTTTAAAAAATAAATTTAAACATAAACAAAATAGCAACGTATAAAGGAATGAAAATATGAAAATAATTTGAATAAAATAACTCAACACTTCAAGTAGAAAAAGAGGCAGAAATAATGTTTTAAAATTGTCAATAATTGTACATTTTAAACTCAGCATTTTTGCAGTTGTGAAACGCTGAAAAAAAATCGTTCTATTTGTAGAACACTTTTGTGTAATGCTGTCAATACTTCTAGCAAGAAAGTGCTAATGCAAAAGTCTGTTTTTTTAAATAGGAAGTGTTTATCGATTCATTTCAGATCGATAACTAAATCACAACTTCACAAAAAAAGACTAAAACTACACAAAATGGCAACATGAAATTAGAGAAGATTTTTTTTGGAGCTTGATAGGAAGTTGATAGGAGAAAAATATGTTGAGATATTCAGTCTTATAGGTAGGCCTACTAGTGGCATATGGGTTTAAGAAACAGCTTTCTGTGTCTGTTGGATTATCTAGCGCGCTGTGTACCGCTGGTGTACACAGTCATCGGTAGTCTTCTACCATAAGGCGTTATCAGTCTGTTGGTAAATACTCGCGATAGTTATCACGAGAAAAAGGTATTCATGACATCACCACCATCACTACACCATGATGACACCCTCACCCTCACCAGACCATAACGACAACACCGCCATCAGTAGACCATAACGACAACACCGCCATCAGTAGACCATAACGACAACACCACCATCAGTAGTCCATAACGACAACACCACCATCAGTAGACCATAACGACAACACCACCATCAGTAGACCATAACGATAACACCACCATCAGTAAACCATAACGATAATACCGCCATCAGTACACCTTGATGACACATCCATCATCAATAGACCATATAGACAAAGATGTCTCCACCACTATCAGTCGACGATGATGACAACACCACCATGAGCAGACCATGATGACACCGCCACCATCACTACAGCATTATGACAACACCAACATCGCAATACCATGATAGGAACACCATCACCACCAGACCATAACGGCAACACCACCATCACTAG